CGATTGTCATCAAACAAAAGAAAATCTAATTTTTGACCAAAATCGGCAAAATAGCAAGGGGTAACATCACCTTTTTTCTCAAATTCGGGGTCGGTTCGAAAATCAAACTTTTTTGATGATTTTTATTGAATATCTCGGGTAAATATTGTCAGGTTTTGAAATGTTATACCTTTTTAAATTTGTACGGATCCCTAATATCAATTGGCATTCAAACATTTCAAAAATCGATGGGTTTAAAAAAGTGGTTGACCATAAACCGATTCGTTTGTAAAGTCAACCTTTTTTGATGATTTTTTGGAATATCTCGGCCAAATAATTTACGATTTGGGAATTTTATACCATTTTGGACTCATAAGGATCAGTACTATCGATTAGCATCAAAAAAATTAAAATCTAAATTTTGACCAAAATCGGCAAAATGGCAAGGGGTTACATCACGTTTTTTCTCAAATTCGGGGTCGGTTCGAAAATCAAAACTTTTTTGATGATTTTTATTGAATATCTCGGGTAAATATTGTCAGATTTTGAAATGTTATACCTTTTTAAATTCGTACGGACCCCTACTATCAACTGGCTTTCAAACATTTCTAAAATCGATGGGTCTAAAAAAGCGGTTGACCAAAAACCGATTCGTTTGTAAAGTCAACCTTTTTTGATGATTTTTATTGAATATCTCGGGTAAATATTGTCAGATTTTAAAATGTTATACTTTTTAAAATTCGTACGGATCCCTACTATCAACTGGCGTTCAAACATTTCAAAAATCGATGGGTTAAAAAAAGTGGTTGACCAAAAACCGATTCGTTTGTAAAGTCAACCTTTTTTGATGATTTTTTTGAATATCTCGGCCAAATAATGTTCGATTTGGGAATTTTATACCATTTTGGACTCAAAAGGATCAGTACTATCGATTTCCAAATCAGTCAATGTTTGCCCGAAATATTCAAAAAAAAATCATCAAGAAAGTTCTGATTTTCAAACCGACCCCGATTTTGAGAAAAAACGTTATGTAACCTCTTGTTTTTTGGTCGATTTGGTTAAAAATTGACATATTAGTTTTTTTGAATGACAATCGATAGTACTGTATCTTACAAGTCCAGAAAGGTATATCATTCCATAATCAAGCAATACATGGCTGAGATATTCTAAAAAATCATCAAAAAAGTTTAGCATCATGACCGAATCGTTTTTTGTTAAAAATTTGTATATAACCCCCGATTGTTAATTTAATTATTAGCTATTAGATAGTGGGGTTCGAAGCGGCATAGCTCCGCCGTTGTAGGAACAATATATCTTAGGGCGGAGACATGACCGTATTTGATATGCTTATAGCTGTTATTATTTGCATTGGTTAAATACGAACAGGGGAACGAGAAACGAATATCTGTTTTAACTTTTCCTTGTAATATTATAGCGTATTAAATTGTTTAAATCACATAAAGCTCGGTATATTAACTCTTTTAGTTTCAGTAGAAGTTCTGACTCTAAATAAGAAACAACGTTATGGACATTAAACATTTTGGTATTTTGCTATTTATATTAACTGTGGGCAAGTCCGTGGCAGTCGTTTTGGTAAGTATCAAAGCATGCATATATATAAATATATAAAATAAATGAATGCACTTATAGGACGGACTCTGTTCTGGCAACCTGGAGAGCCGGTGTAACGAATTTTGTCACCAAAAATTAGGGCCATTGAGAGATAATGAAGCTAAAATTCAAAATCTTTTGAAGGATTGTGATAGCACGAATCTGCAAGGAAACGCCAAAAACAGACTTGACAAAATTGAGAATCAGTTTAAACTCCTTAAACAAAATTACACCGCCACAAATATGGAAAATCGAGAAAATTATCTACTAAGTCAATCGTTCCAGAAAATTGGAAACAAATTTTATTACATTGAAAAGAGGGAGAAATTTAATTGGTTCGGAGCTTTAAACAAATGTATTCGCTTGAGCGGGCATCTCGCTAGTTTTCAAAATGAAAAGGAGTTCAAAGCCTTAGAGCCCCACTTAATCAAAAATATTTGGTATTGGCTCGACATAAATGATCTTAGCGTTACCGGAAAACAAATTTCGATGACGACGGGTCGTCAACCGGCCTACGTGTATTGGAGTAAAGGCGAACCAAACAATAATAACGAAGTGGAGCATTGTACTCATTTATGGACACATGTTACAGGTGATTGGGAAATGAATGACTTAGAGTGTTCCCATTATCATCGTTTTATCTGTGAAGCTTCATAACTTATAAATGATGCCTAAAAATATCAAATAAAATCTATCGCACATATCAATTATATTGTATACGAATAGGCTACCCAACTGAGTCACAACGTGAAAACGCCCTGGGTAACTTCAAGCTTGTGGTGGGCGACCACCTTAACCATCGGCCAAAGCATCCGGGTACTCTGATCCCCAGGAAAAGAGTGAGCAATCTGACAATTGCTGGTGCCGCCAAGTACGCAAGCGCGGTCGATTATATTAGTACTAAATTAAGGCACATTAGGGAACAATTTTATCGGAAGAACTTACTTTACGATTGCTGAAGTTTTCAGATTGCTGAGATTTAGAAAATATAAAGCCATCATTATACTTATACAACTTATTTCTATTTCTGTTTTCAGCCCATTTGCATTTTGAGAAAATCTTTTTATTGAAATTTAAAGTCTTTTACCAAGCTTTTGGTTATTGTTAGTTATTATCAAACACAGAACTTCTCAAATTTAAATATCGAATATTATGTACACATCCTGATATCACCTCATCCTTTATCCCTAATAACCACAGTAGAGTAAAGTGTCTCAGCAAGATTAAATTAGCTCCGCTTATTATCATATTCCTATAATAGCCCTTCCCCGTCACAACACTTAATTTTCTTCGCTCCAACCCTAGAAGCCAGCAGCCAGTCATGTAAATCTAAATGCTCCTTTCGTCAAAAGTTGTTCGCACTTGTTCGATGATCTCGGAAAGTACAAGAGCTAATGACTTACAATTTTTTATTATATGTATTCTCCTAAACCACAAGCAAACCGATATCTCGCCTCAAAACCAAAATATCGATAGATCGTTTTTAAGACATGTCTTTTAAAAGTATGGTACGCAGATTAGAAAAAAAAATGTTACCCCAACATTTGGTAGGTAACTGCCTAAGAATTTTGGAATTTATATCGGGCTATCATGATTTCATGATTTTAAGAATGCAAAGTAAAAGCTAAAATATAAATTTGAGCGTGGGGTACAGGGGATATTGTAGTCGATCACACTCGCCTACAGCGTTCATATATTTTATTTTTATTTAACGCCTATTTGACAAATGTTATAAAACAAACTCCTTCCGCTTTCGACCGTATTGAATTGATCTTAGTGAATATGTGTAAATTTTTTTCCAGTTTTGTATATTATTCGATATAGTTTCAGTACTACTCCATATTCAGATCGAGTAACATTCTTATTTAAAATGCAAAAATATTTAACTTTGCTATTGCTAGTTGTTTCCAAGCAATATTCCGGGGCAGCCGACTTGGTGAGTACCGTAGCTAAATACTATAATGCACTGTACTCTGATATGATGCATATATATATATCATAGACAAAATCGCCATGTAACTTTGATTTGGGAAATCAGTGTGGCGAATATTGCCTGAAATCCTTAAAGCCTATCGTGGATCAAGGATATCTCATGCGGGACATGTTGGAGAAGTGTTTCAAGCAGCAAGTCAATTCACCATACAGAATCGAAAAGATTATATCTCATATTGAGATCGCTGAGCAGAATTTAAGGAATACCACAACAAAATGTGTAAATCCATTGTTTAAACCAATTGAATCAAAATATTATCATATCGAAAATACCGAGACCCTTAATTGGTATGGAGCTGCACAAAAATGCATTGAGCTTGGCGGCCATCTGCTCAATTTGCAAAGTGCGAGGCAGTTTGACTTGCTGACGCGCCATTTGCGTTCCGATGTTGACTATTGGACAGACATCAATGATCTCAGCACAACTGACGACTGGGTTTCCCTAACCAGTGGACACCAGGCAGCTCTATTAATTTGGAGTGATGGGGAACCAAAAACGGTTTACAGAAATAATCATTGCGTTCACTTACAAGGAAATAAAAAGTGGCAAATGAGGAATAATGGATGCGAGTCGAAGTACGGCTTTATATGTCAGCATAATGATGCTTAGGTTTTCAACATAACATCGATATGTTACAAACTATATATAAGTTGAATAAAAACTAATAACTGCAATAAATTTTCAATTTTTTAGTGTGGTTTTTCAACGTATTGTTTAATAACATTTGTGACTATTTCGTTAAATTTGAATAATAATAGAAAACAGCAAATACAATTTGAAAACATTTTCTTATTGTGCCTTTTGATGAAGAGTAAGTATTTATCTATGCTAATATGCAATAAATTTTTAATTTTTAAGTGTGGTTTTTCAAATTGTTGTATAATTATATTTGTGACTATTTCGTTACAGTTCAGACTTTAATATTTTTTCAATGCTGTGTCAACAATATGCGAGTTGATAGAATTAAGAGTTATTACTAGTTAACTTTCGGAAAAATTGTATTTTTCCATTGTTTAAGCCATATATTTAACAAAGCACAAATACGTTAATCGATTAGATACCTACTGTACTCACATTTGACAGAATGAGATGATTAATGTATGCTGATGTGGCTTTGAAGTTATTAAGTTATCACCTGCGTATAGATACCTAATTTATGTTAAAATATTATGTATATGCGATAACAAAGTTGTTCAGTTAAGCTCTCTGGCAAATGCCAGGGTTATTGACCCGAAGTCTTGGCCAATATTTTTCAGCATAAATAGGGGCGCCCAGCCAGGTCATATCTATTTGTGAACCGTAAAGCAAGGTAAATACTTTCACCCACCGCATCGAATGATTAATTTTAATGCAAGCAGCTAAAATATTAATCCGAAAAACCAGTAGCAGCATTAGCGAATTGAAAATTTCAATTTAAAAATCTAAAATTTAAATGCCATAATCTTTGGCCCGCAGCGTTGAAAGTATAATTGAACCTAATCAATCCGATGCGAGGCGCCGACTTTCGTTGTGAGAAGAACAAACAAACGGTTGAAGCAATGCTTTAATGGAAACCCCCATGATATTTGCCAGCAAATATTAATTGTGTGTGTTGCCTGAAATTAGCATGAGCCCATGGTGCCACAGCGTGGCCGAGCTGTGGGCCGGTGACCAAATTGAAGATCACCCAACCAAATTGGTTCAGCTTATAATTAGAAGTGACCTCCTGATGGCTGCTATTAGCAAATTGCTGTCGATTTTCCCTTTTACTTTTGTTTGGCGTTTATCAACACCGCACCAGATACCGGAGCAAACAAAGAAGTCCATAGTTAATTAGTAACACACATGAAAATACAAAAAAAAAAAAATAGAATAATAATGGGACAGCACCAGCGACGTAGGTGAGCATTTCGTTTTGGATCTTCCAATTTCTACTTCGCCTTCTTCTTCTTGGCACTATTCGCTAGAGTCTCGCGAACCACTAAGTATGCGGCGTCGGGGTGAAACTTTTACTCTGGCCAAGACTAAAATCGAATTGCCATCTTCTGGCAAAGTTCAGTTGAGTTCCGTGCTTATACGAGTGCTGTCGCATCTTGGCCAGGGTCATTTGCCGTTTCCGAGTGCTTTTCAGGCTGCCAAATGCAATTTTCGATTTCGATTGTGCTCGCAGTTTGCGCACTGGGCGCGATCCGCGCCGAGGGGCGGGTGCGCGGCAAGCAATATGACGAGGAAAAGGATACCATTGTGGAGCTGCCCAAATTGGGCGCCATACAGGGTAAAATAGTGGAGACCGCGTGGACCAAGCGCGAAGTGTTGCAGTTTGTCGATGTTCGATACGCCGAGCCGCCAACTGGACAACATCGTTTCAAGGTATGTGGCTCAAGAGGCTCAGATCGGCTGTGTTAGCAATATTTAAAGGCTATAACAAAGTTAAATTTTGAGGGTTAATGAATGCAACAGGCACGAGGAGATATTGTGTATACCATTTCATCAGCTCCGATCAGCAGCCAAGTCCAACTAGCCGATTCCATCTAACAGTCCGACTGTTTTCTGACCTAAATTCAGATTAAATTTTGCATACATGCATATTTTGAGCTCGGGTCATTGTGATTAACACAGAAGTTATTCAAGAAGCTTTTGTCCAAAGTGCAGAGCACCTATTTTAGACTTGATAAAAGGGTATCTGCTAGTCGGACAATATGGACATGTTCATTTAAAATTTCTCTGCTGCCCATAAATTGGACTTGGCGTGAGTTTAGTTGAGTCAGCTTTTACCTTATGTCAGCCAAACGGCTGCTTTTGATAACTTTTACTGTCCACATTGCGAACATTTCACCTCTTGCTAAATTAACCATATATAACCACGCAGCAATCAAGAATAGGTTCGCCGAGTTCATAAATATTTATGTGGGCTTAGACCCAATTAAAGCTAATATACTCGTAATACATCTGAGAGGCGCGAATCGTTAAGTTTGCCGGCAGCGACGAAAGCTCGCTTGATTAGGAAGGCAATCAATTTCGTGCACTAATTTCGCAAAGATTATTGATGTCAAAAATCCATTAATCATAAAAACCGAATGGTTTTGTTCTATATCAGCCACCGCGTCCCATTGAGCCCTGGGAAGATGTGATGGATGCGACGGCGGAGAAGATCGGCTGTCCGTCTGTCGTTTCGATGGACGCACTGCAAAAGCTGGACGACGTGCTGGACGTCGAGGACTGCCTGACGATGAGCATAACCACCCCGAATGTGACCGGGAGACTGCCCGTACTGGTCTACATACACGGGGAGTACCTCTATGAGGGCAGCAACTCGGAAGCGCCGCCCGACTATCTGCTGGAAAAGGACCTGGTGCTGGTGACGCCGCAGTATCGCCTGGGACCATTTGGTTTTCTGTCGACCAAAACCGATGAGATACCCGGCAATGCCGGCTTCCTCGATATCTTCTTGGCCCTGCAATTCGTCAAGCACTTCATTAGGTATTTTGGGGGCGATGCGAGCCGCATTACGGTGGCCGGGCAGGTGGGTGGCGCGGCCATAGCGCATCTGCTCACACTCTCCCCGATGGTGCAGCGTGGCCTGTTCAGTCAAGTGATTTATCACTCCGGCTCAGCCATTATGCCCATCTTCTTGGAGGACAATCCGCGCAAGCATGCGCAGGAAATTGCCGAAAAAGCCGACTGCCAGATGGTTACCGTGCGAGATCTCAATAAATGCCTGATGGAGCTTAGTGCTTTGGAGCTGCTGAATGCATTCATGGACCATGCGGTAAGTGGAACGGAGAGTTCCTTTTAGACTTCGCCTTTTCATTGTGATATCTTGTTAGCTTGAGAAATCAGATCTGGGCATTGGTCACACCGGAGGCATACAGTTCACAATCGGCGGGCCCAGCGGCGTGCTGCCCAAGCATCCCTATGATCTCATGCTGGACTCGAACTTTTCCTATCCTGCAATGGGCGGCTGTCCCAAGAACGCAGGCACACGCGTGCTGAATGAGATTGTGGAGAACGACTTTGAGGGGAAGATACCAGATGATGAATACAATACCTACAACTATATCGATCACGTTATACGCCAGGTGGTGGGTACCGACAAGACCATGCTGCTGACCAGCTTTGTCACCCATGACTTCTTCAATCGCCACCTGCTGGAGAACGGGACTTTCGACACCCTAATACCACGGCTAATTGATGTGAGTAAGACTTTCACATATGGAAAGTGGCATATGCCAAATAGATATGTCTTTCAGGTGGCGGGCACTTTAAACCACAAGCTGCCGGTGCTGCTGGCTCTTAACATGAACAACAAACACAATCCGGACAACACGTTCCTTTACTCCTTTGAATACGCGGGCGAGTTCAATCGATACCGCGACATGGACGAGGAGACGAACATGCAGAGTCCCTTCAAGGCGGGCGTCTCACTCACCGATGAGGCGCTTTACCTATTCCCCTATCCCGACCATGTCAAGCGCCTGAGTCCTCCCGATATGTCAATGGCACATCGCATGGTTGACCTATGGACAAACTTTGTAATTACCGGCAATCCGCTGGGCTCATATCGATCCGGCTACTGGCCTCCCATGACAACGCTCTACGGTCCCTACATGAAGATCGACGAGACGCTTACCATTGGCGGCAATTACTTCAATGAATTTTCAGCTACGCTAAGGGACGAGGAAGAGGGCCACAGTCTCATACGTGAGATCTATTATTTGCGTAACCGCGCACGCCGCAAAGATTTGGGCCTGGCACAGCGCAGGAGGCAAGCAGCAGCAACAGCTGCCACAAGCAAGCTCAAGAAAGTGGAGGTGCGGAAGAGTCTCGTAAGGCGTCCAAATCGAAACAAGATACGCTTTTAGTACCAAGTCAACTAAAGGAATTAGTTTACTACTCACTAGTATTGCTTATAAGAAATAAAAACGTTTTAAGGCATAAAAATGAACACAAAATTAATATTATATTATTCATTGGCATGAAAGATATGGATCGATTCAGTCGGGATTAATTTAAATATTAAATGTTTGTTCGAAGCGGGTGGACGGAATTGCATTCTCTTTACTGTGCTTATCTCTCGATCGCATCACAGATCATTCGAATTAAGCTGAAAAACCTTTAGGTCAAAATAGTGATAGTGATAGCTTAACAAATTATATAAATCCATTGCCGCTGATTGCACATTTATTTGAAACTTGGACTCATTTAAAAAACATGTAACTCATTGCTTACTCATTAAAAGACTCGCAAATAAAAAAAAAGAGATCGTCGCATTTTTGGTCATTCATTACAAAATTAGCGTCTTGTAAATGGACGCAATTTTCCTTACCACTGGCATTGTTGGGCTCATTACGCTTCCAATTCAAAAATGTGGACCACAGGCCAGTTGTTAGGGAGCGGTAAACTCCCTTCTCGCTGAGGTCGTTCACATCAATCCAATAATATTTTTTAGCATCCAAGTGGGGAATTATTGCATCCAGCTCACTCTGGTTATCCAAACTGATCAGATGGCTGTCGAATTCGGTACATCTGTGTGCTGCTCCAAACCAATTGATCTTCTGTTGTTGCTCAATATAATAATATTTGGAACCGATTTTCTGAAACGGCTTTCGAAGATGGTGTTTTTGTTTGTCGATCAACTTGCTTTGCTCCAATAGTTTCTGCTTAGTTTCCTCGATTGCTGTCGAATAGCTGGCAGAGTTTTCCTGTTGCGTCACCAGCTGACCCTCAATTTCTTCTAGTCTGGATTGGGTATTCGTCAGCTTGCTTACATCACATACCGTCCAAAGTTTCTGCATGACGCCCATGTGGTCCACCATTGGCTTTAGGAACTGCAAGCAGTACCTATCGCACTGGTTCTTAGATACCTCTGAAGGTGTTGTTTCCTGCTGTAAATTTGTGGAATTAACTTACTTAAAAGTCTTTTAGGTTTACTTTGCTATATACCGCATAGTTTAAGGATCCTATCGATATGAGTAATAAAACCCCAAATAAGTAATATTCCATTTTGAAAACAAAGCTTGAGAACTGTAAACCGAGCTCCAATTTGAAATCGAATTGACTGAGCTGTGCTTCGCTGAAAATTTTTCTCGCACAGAATGTGAATAATTGAGTACAGTGGAGCTTCGCACAATGTGAACCTAAGGCATTCATAATCTATTAAAGCGTTATTATTCCGTATATTTCTATTTAAAGCCAGCCGCATTATACGAGGTCAGCTTGTAACAAATGACTTGACTTCTGAATCATATTATTTTCATTTAATTATTGCGAAAAATATGCTAATCATGCGGCCATTATTGCCCAACTAGTAAATACCCTGTACTGGTAACTATTAAGAAAAGGCAAAAAAGAAGAAGAAACGATAGGTGCGTTCAAATACATATACATATACATATATACTTAAATTAAATTGATATTATTTATATTATTATTAATGGGTATTAGTTTGATACCCTAGTCATGAGAAGTGTGTCATTCGTCTTATCTGAATTATTATATTGTTTTTCACAAATGTATATATGAGTACTGCATATAATACAATGCTATTTCCGTTGTGATAATAATATAATATTGATTTCGCGATTAAAGACTTCCAAGAATTCATTATTTTTTATAATACATGCTTGATTTAAACAGATAACCGAACGATGCCCAGTCAGCCAGATTATTAATGCAGTATGGATCAAACATATGGCCAGTATATAGTAAAGGGGGCTTGAATGTTTTTTGTTAATTAATCAATTTGAACACGTCTGATAACAGGGGTTATTATATAAGGCGTTATAGGCAAAAGTCGTCCGAGTTGAATCACTTGAATCAATCGAACAGATTAATAAATCTGCCATTTTTTAAGATAGTTTTAAATTCTACACATTTTTTTATAAGGTGTCGAAACAATAAATTAATTTTTAATTCACCATAGTTTTCATCTCAATAATTGGACCTAGTGTTGAATGCGTGCCGATTTTCTGGCAATGAAAACCAAGTTCTGGCCACGCGCCTCGGTGGCTGCTGTGTCATCGTTGGTTTCTTCCTGTTCCTCGTCCTCATCCTCGTCTGTATCGGATTCGGCCGGCGGTTCCTGCTTATTAATGGCATCGCGTAGGACTGCCTCCAGTTCGTAGTAATCATCGTTGACCAGGTTATATCCCAGCTTAACCTCCTGCACCGCAATGCTGTATTCGTCCAAGTAATTGTCCCCAAATGTGACTGTGCGTCCGATATGCATATATGGTCCAGTTTCATCGTTCATAGGGGACCACGCGGGCAAACCCTCTGCCCTGGGAACACCATCAGCTGCGAATGAGGTCCAAAGGGCCACCATGCGCTTGGCTATCTTGACATCGCTGTTGGAATTGAGCATATTGATGCGCGGCCAGGGAAATAGGTAAAGATTCTCGTCGGTCAGACTGACGCCCATGTCGAAGGGCACATCGATGGCCTCATCCTCGCCGGTGGCATAGCGGTTCAACTCCCCCTCATAGTCAAAGGTGTACAAATACGTGCTATTGGCTAGCTTCTTGGCATTGGCCTGGAGGACCAAGAGCACAGGATTCTTTAACGCAATCGTGCTACAGAGCTAAGCAATGAATTTAATTTCATTAAACGTATTACAGAGTATTAAATATTCAGTGCTACTCACATCAATTAGACCCGGTGTAAGGCGCTTGAAGCTGCCATTCCGAATGTCCTCCTCACTAAAGATGTACTCGTCGGCGAACTCCCGCCAAGAACTCGTCGGATCGGCGCCATTTATCTGCTCAATGATTGTATCAATGTACTTTGCCCCTGTCATCTGAGTGTCCGATGTGCTCTCGTTAAAGCTCTCCACAAATAGGTCTACAAAGAAGAGATTTTTTCAACTGGTTTTAACTGAATGAATATGAGTAATAAGGGTTATATACACCTTACAAGCGCCTACATATCAAGTAGGAAATCGTGCTTAATAGGCAATTGCTTACCTCGCATCATGAAGGTGCCGCCGTGCTTGACACTGCCCCCCAAAGTGGGATAGGCTTTGAACTTTTCGGCGGCAAGCAGTCGACCCGGATGCTCTGGCAGAATGCCAGATGGGCCGCCGATGACCAGCTGTACTCCTCCGTATGCGCCGGCGCTAACCGAAGGCTTCCTCTCGCCATGCACGCTGAAGGCAGCCAGCAGCATGGTGGCGTTCATGCGATTGAAGCACTTGTGCAGGGCGTCCGTTTTGGTCAGCGGCTTGCAACCGGCGATGCGAGCTATTTCCTTGGTCGCTGTCAGAGGCGAGTCCGTGATGAAGGCCGGCGAGAGCGCTGTGCCGGACTGATAGATGACACGATGGAACAGGTTCGCCGGTACGGCCGGGCTCAAGGTGAGGACATTAATAAGCGCCGCGCCGCCCACCTGGCCAAAGAGTGTCACTCGCTGTGGATCTCCGCCAAAGGCGGCAATGTGTTCATTTATCCATTTCAGGGCCAAAATCAGATCCGTCACAGCCGCGTTGCCGGGCATTTCCTCGCTCAGAGTGGAAAGGAAGCCGAAGGGTCCAAGACGATAGCGCACTGACACCAAGACCACATCGCGCTCCAGCAGATAGCCGGGTGCTGCTTCCACAGTGTCGCCGTCATAGAAGAAGTCACCATGGACATAGACCATGACAGGAGCTAGTTTACCCTCCAGCTGAGAAGAGGTTGGGTATATAGAATATGTTATTTCACTTTTGTTAAACAGAGATCAATTATAAACCTACCGATTTGGTATTCACTGTTAGACGCAGGCAGTCCTCGACGTCATAACCGTTCTCCTCTAACTTGGCGAATTTCACCAAATCCTGAATAGAGGGGCAGCCGGCGTGATGACGATGTGCCTGCAGAATGCCCTTCCAAGGCGTCGTCGGTTCTGCCGCCTTTAAAGGATTAATATATATTAATATAATAATCATAACCCTCTTATACTTTTACTTTTTTAAATTACAATATATACAGTTTTCTCTATCTGAACTGCCTTTGTCCTGAGCTAGGAAGCTATATTGATTACAGAAGTTACGTTATGTGGAGATTTTGAGGAATTCCACTAGTAAAAGTGGAAAATAAAGGGAAAACTATCGCACGACCAAAAAATAGTTGGCAAATATTGTTTACAGAAGTTACGTTATGTGGAGATTTTGAGGAATTCCACTAGTAAAAGTGGAAAATTAGAAAACTTTGACATCTTCATTGTTTTATGGAAATTCTCAAACCCATTCTAAAGCAAACGTTTTGTATTACTAATATTTAAACACGTTTTAAGGATTAGAGTATTAGCTTTGAGGGAAATCTTACCTTAAAACGCTCGGCCTTGCCATAGGGGATGTCTAGGAACTGCATAATGTTCTGGCCAGTCCATTCAGTGACCAAGGTGCGACCGCGTATCTTGCCCAGCGCCGGCAGCGTCGTGGTGAACACCTTGGGATTTTGCTGTGGTGGACTTGGCTTTTGCTTTTGGGGTCGCTGCGCCTGCTGTTGGGGTTTTGGGCGTCTGTTCGGATTCGCTGCTTGGTTGCCTGGATTGGGCCGCTGCTGCTGTTGTTTCTTATTCTTCTGTGCCGCAACGCCGCTGAAGGCAACCAGGGCTAGGAGCGCCACAAATAGCAGCAATATAATGCTGCGTGGATTTGCCATAGTTTGACCCGTTCCCGCTACGCGTCCAAGTTCAACTGTTGGCCAGGCTGGTTAGCTACTCAAAAAGAAGACTTTCGCGTCGAATCTCCAGTCGGCGGCATCATAATTAAGTGTCTCTTAACCGGGCACCTGGCGGCGGTTCTATTTTTGATGGGTGCTCGAACGAAATGGGGTCAAGTCGCTGTTAACGATTCGATTCAAGTTCTCTTGACGGCCACGAAGCTTCCTAATCTGTTCGATCAAATTCCATTTTGCGAATTCTGATTATGAATATTTAAGAAGCCGATTTCATAGTAAAACCCGTTTGCCCTAAGGGACGCACGTTAAGAATCTCTCTCCCCAAGATTATCTTTGATTTCGAAAGTAAAACAATAATATCAAACTAATTCTTGACCCATTTGCAGTTACTCAGTGTCACAGATAAGTAGATACGAATATGTAAATAGATACGAATATATAAAATAAGCCTAAATAACGACCTTAATTTGCTTTCGCTCACAGGTCAACGGAGGTCGTAGTAAATAAATATAGGACAGATAAAATTAGGAACATCAGTTGGGTGTTTCTTAGAGCTTAACCTTTGAGTGGGCTCAAAATATTTGTACATATTTGTATTACATTCGTTAATACTTTATTAATAAGTTAAACAATCATTTTAAATAATAATTAGATATTAAAATGCATTAGTCTAGTTTCATTATATGTATGTATGATGGCTTTCACTAGCTTAAAAAACGCATACAAAAACAATTGCATAGAAATGCCCAAAAAAATGTCTCTGCTTCTTATCCAGAGATAACAATTCATTGGCAAGCTGATAGATTTAAATTGAGAACATTTCATGAATTATTTCTCGTTGCGGCAATGCATAAGAATGAACACACCAGGCGCAGCAGCAGCAGATCAATATATATGACGAACACCTGACAGTGGGAGATTTTGTGGGTGTGTATGTGTGTGCATGTGTGTGTGTATGTGCGTGTGCGTTGGTATGGCGCCCACACAGCTTATATGTAATATAAGCGCACAACCGATTTTGTGATGAGTGTTTCGTTGTCATAGAAACTGGTTTGAATTGTCACATTGCCATTTAAGACTTTTGCGGGCATCATTTGGGACTCGGGTGCTGCCTCGATGGTGCTCTGCCATGTATTGGTTGTGTTGGCGCCCACGAAGCCCATCTCGAAGAACCATTCCTCCATGATGCGTCCCTTGAAGAGCACTTTTTGGTCGAGCCGAAAGTTTTCCATTGCCTCAATCGTGCTAAAATTGATCTCGCGCGATACGGCGCGCATGTCCAGAATCTTGACGGGTACCCGCGCCTCATGCTCGACATCCGGGGCAGAAAAGTCCTTATTCTCCTGCCAGATAACCTTGCCGGTGTCCGCATCGCGCAGTATCATGTAGTTGATCTGGAAACCCTTTTGGATTTTATCGCCTGCGCTGAGGTCGTCGGAGCCCATTATTAAGCCACTATTAGTGTCACAACCAGAGGGAGAGCGTTGTTTCAGTTAAATTCGCGTTGTTGCAGCCCAGATTATATTTTTGGAAAAAATCAATGTTTATTTTTAATGCTAATTATGTATATAGCAATATTTTTAATTCTAAAAATACATATATACGCGTAGCTGTGTTCAGAAGCAGCTGTGTCAGCTGGAATACAATCGATGGCTGCGACAAAAATATCGATTATTCGTATTAGCAAGGCACGAGTGTTGAGAGCACTTTTGTGGCTGCCGCAACACTGGTTAAAACAGCTGTGCTTAATTAGGGTTCTGTTATGGCTATGTTAAGGGTATCTAATGGCATTGGTTTTGGGTCCATTTGAACCTTTAAATATTGAAATTCCATTTAGTGTGTTGAATTAATTCTGAATAAAGCGGTAACCAAAAATACATTTTGTCAATTAAAAATGTTTTCTAATATTTTGCAGCATGTTGCTTTCTTTCAGTGTACTGCTGTTCAGTGTTATTAACAGTTTAGCAAAATGTAGTTTAGTTTGTTGTCTTACAATCAGCTGACGACTTCTCGAAAAAAGAGTAAAAATGATTATTTACGGCGTCTACATAGTAAGCAAATCCGGTGGCCTCATATTCAACCTGGACAATAACGTGCCTCGAATAGAGCACGAGAAGACATTCACATACCCGCTGGACTTGGTGCTCGACTACGACCCCAAAAAAGTTTCCGTGTCGTTTAACCGCAAGGATGGCATCAATGGTAGGCGTTGCCTTTTCTTTTGCACTCTCCGTTAAGTCTCATTATAAAATTTGACTTGCAGTGGGACATGTGCTCGTCGCTGTCAATGGCATGCCAGTCAACGGCGCCACGCTGGAGGATGGACGGGACGTGAAGACGACGCTGGAGTCGCCCGACAACTTTCCAATAAATCTAAAGTTTAGCCGGCCCAAAATGACAACGAACGAGAAAATCTTTCTCGCGAGCATGTTCTATCCACTGTTTGCCATTGCCAGCCAACTGAGCCCGGAGCCCAAGAGCTCCGGCATTGAGCTATTGGAAGCGGACACCTTCACGTTGCATTGCTTTCAAACGCTCACCGGCGTCAAGTTCATCGTGATCTCGGAAACGGGCCTGAACGGCATGGATCTGCTGCTGCGCAAAGTCTATGAGCTGTATTCAGATTATGTGCTGAAAAATCCGTTTTATTCGCTGGAGATGCCTATACGCTGCGAGTTGTTCGACAACAAGTTGCAGGAACTTCTGTTGCAGGTGGAGAAGACAGGGATTAACAATATTGATAAATAAAATAGTAATTTGTTAAAAAAAAACCTTTGATTTTCAAATTATTTCTAAAAGGAACCGTTCCATTTTGAATGGACAGCCTGATAAAATAGCACTCTTTTAGCATAATTCCGTTCAAAGCTTAGTCAAACAATATTGGTTTATCTTTCGTTTGAAGTCAAGAAACAACATTCTGTATTATAGGATGTGTTTTTTAATAATTTATCAAACTCAAAACTTTTAAACTTCGGCTAGTCGAAAGGGTATAACTTCGTACTTTCTAATAGAGGAGATGGGATCAAGCTTAATCAATTTAGGTAGAAAAGCTGAGAAGTTAATATGACCCACCTTTGGCCATACAATAATCCAAATATACATTTTTACTAAGTTTTAACAATAGTGTTAAAGGGTGTCACAATTTATTTACCTGAGATATTCTAATATATCATTTAAAATGTTGGTATAAAAACCGACCCGATTCTTGGCAAAATTGTGGTTACATTTTTGTTAAATTTGTCCAAAATGTATATTTGCATTTCTGTTTTGAATGCCAATCAATAGTCGAACTTCGTACTGGTTCAAAAATGTGTTTCTTTCCATTATCGAACATTAATTAACTGGCAGACTCGGACTATTTTTATGGTATAACTACCAAAAATAAAGGTGGGAACTTCTACGCAACGGTCTACTTTAAAAATGAAACAGAAAAATGTTTTTATATCGAGCAAATGTGTTAAGTTTGATCTTTGAATGACCCTCGACTGATAAATGATTGGCATTGAAAAATTAAATTTAAAGGCTCTGGATGCCAACTGGTAATCAGTTCTTAAATTCTGAGCACTGCATTTAAGCGTTTAAGAATCCCAGTAAAAAAGCATGTTAAATAGAATAATATTCATATTAATTGTAAATTAGTATTCTTATAGGATGTTCGCCTGGCACACATAATTGAGAAGGGTTTCACAAGCTTCATCATTTAGATCGCCTGCGGCAACTTCAGCACAGTATTCATTTCCAGACTCATTGTCCGGTAGCCCAACCTTCCATCTATAGTAAGGCATGGCCCTTCCGGTTGCTATCGAAATAAAGTTCCCAGTTGCGGCCAAGCAGTTTGCGGATGTCCAGAAGCGATTCGAGGGCACGATGGCCACTATTAGGTCCATTTCCGTGCTGCTCTCAATGTTGAGCAAATGTCCGCCCCACTTGCGGCAATTCTCCGCTGCCTGAAACCAGTTCACCTTCAAGGTGGACTCGATGTGGTATAGTTTATTGCCAATTTTGATTGGGAAATCCTTGCAGCTGCTAACGCATTTTCCCAATTCGTTTGAATGCACCAAAACATCAGCTAAGAGCAAATATTATTTGATTATTTTTGTTTGTAATCCTTAAATTGCTTAAAGATACTCACGTATTTCAGTTGACATGCTGAGGTGCCATAGTTGCATTGAAAATAGCAAGAAAACTAATTTGACATCCATTTTGCGCGCTTTGCCAGTTCTAAATGCTCTAGTGAACAATTTTTTGTATTTATACACTTTTGTCCATTTATGACATTATCAAAAATACAAAAAAAAAATGATAAGAGCGTGCAAATTTCTCGCTATAAACCAGCCAACCGTTGGGTAATCAAGGTAATAAATTTTACAAAACCAATGCAAGTACTGACCGAAAAAATACCTCAATAATCTCGAATGCCCAATAAAAGCTCGGAGTTCCGGTTGTCAATTGACTAAGAATAAGGGGTAAGTACCTTTAGCCCTGAAACGGAAATACTGACGAGATCTCACTTGTCGTCTATTCTAGAAAATTTGTTTGAATCAGAAGTGAAACTTAAGACCTTTGAGAGGCGATGGGATAAAAGAATTCCTTTGTATGTAGGGAGATGAACGAAAATAAGTCAATCCAAAAAGTGATGAAAAAAATAATATTAAATAACTTAATAAATTTTAATAATAAATAACTTAATAATCAAAATTATTTGGTTCGATGTGATTGCTTTAATAAAATTGTTTAGCCATCATTAACAAATACTATTATTATTTACTACCTACGTGCGCGGCAGATTACTATACGCAAAACTCTTTTTCTCCCCCTTACTAATTATTAAATCTTTGCTCTTAGACAAACTTGGGGAACTCACTGACCACGCCCAGTTATGACAAGGGGCATAGCTTCCGGGCAGGCTCTCTATCCTATCTCATTTATATTCTATTGCAAAGTTCTGTGCTCTTTATAATATTCTTAATTAACATAGGTAAATAAATTTTTTTGAATTCTTATTTAAGAACTTTGTTCTCGACTAATACCCTTCTTCTTAGCCGTAGAATCTAATAACGTTACTGACCAAAATAGCTTCGAAAAGGTGCATATCTGACCGGAAGGGCAAATAAAATACCTGCATAGTGAGGTTATTAGCAACTGTTTATTCTGATTAGGCTTCTAGTTTTGAAAATTTTTATTATTATGTATTTGGCCATTCAAAACAGTCTTCATAAAGATAAAACTATACTGTTTTATGGAAGTTATCATGCACTTAAAGCTTAAATTCCCTTAATAATGAATTGCATAAAATTGATGAACTTATTAGCGTTTTATATAAAAAGATTTGAGGCACAAAGCACAAAGAACATAAAATCAGCAATCGATTTAAATACTAGTATATGATATTGTTCTCAACGTACTTCATAGGCCAATTTTGGCTTTAAAAAATTGAGTTTGTCTTGTTGTTTATTTTATTAACAATTAACGGTCATAGCAAATAAAGCGAAAGGTTGCCGAAATTTTTTAAGCATTTTGTACAAGTTTTTTAAAAAAATATGTTTAATATAGGAAAGTCTATATAAAGTATAAGAGCAAAGTACTTATGCTTTCAAGATAATAAAGATTATAAGTCTGCTTCCGAAACTAGGAACTGCCATCATACTGAAATGTTTATTGTATGCAATTAGCTAATCGTAACTTTCTTCTGATAATGTCACAAAGCGGTTCAAAACCGAAAGGTATAAATACGTTAGCCATTGCCCAGCAGTCTTTAGTCGAACTAAAGAAATCATAATGGCAACTAAACTCGTGTTATTACTATTTCTTTTCCAATTGTGGCACTATGCAATGCCAAATCCGACGACGGGTAAGTATTATCTCGAGATTCTAGTTCAAAGTTTAATTATCTTTCGGATTTCATTTGTAGTCAATGACCTTTCCCAACTAGATGTATCAAATCAGACGAGTAAGTGTTTCAGTTGATTATGATACCAAACTGGCAAATAATATAAAATATTTAATTTTAGATCTAAACGTGGAATCGGTTGCCAAGAGCAACTTTCCCCTTCAAATTGTCAACAAGTTTTACCACGTTGAGGACACTTTAAAGACCAACTGGTATCAGGCCGCACACAATTGCCGAAAACTGGGAGGACATTTGATCAACTTTGAGACCAATAAGGAAACGGCTGCTATAGTAGCGATAGTCCCCACTTCCAGATACTGGACATCTGCAAACCGCCTGGGGAAGAACAGGGAATGGATTTCTATCTCCACTGGTGAGCCAATGCCCTTCTTAATGTGGATTGGCAAGGAGCCAAACAATGAGCTAGAACAATGTGTGGAACTCAAATTTACAGGTCTGGACAGCGCATTTTGTGACAATTTATTTAATTATATATGTGAAGCCAAGGTAATATAAGAAAATAAAACTGTAAGAATAATAAAAGCAATGCATTGCCTTCAGGTTGAAGACTATTAATTATTTAATGGCTTATGGGGTCTACAAATTTCACCCTTATTTCTTCCAATAAAATAGCACTTGGAACCGATTCAATAGAGTATAATTGGACGTATTTATATACTATACAATAAGGTTTTCAGCATTGGCATACCCTTGTGAACAGAATTATGAGTCTTTAAAACGAAAAATAATGTTTTAGGAAAATATAACTTGGATAATATAATGTTATATAATAACTCATGATCAGAGTAAGGGTATTATTTTCCCGGTACTCTGTATATACGGTACTCTAAGTTAACTGTTAAAGGCAGATTTATCCTGTCTTATGTAGGTTAACTAACCAAAGCGGTTAAAATTGAAAGATAAAATTTTTACTGGAGTTACCTTATTTTAAATATGTCCGGAGGATCCATGGCGTTTAAAATGTGTCTGAGGGAAGTTTATTTGTTTAATGTCATTTCCATAGATTTCCACAGCGTCAATATTAACGCTGACTTCCATAAGAATCCTTTTACACAATTTGAGTTTGGATTTGTTTTTATGAATACGTATATATTTATAGTTTATATAGGTATAATTTTTTTACTCTAAAGCAATACAAAAATCTTGTTTAAGCTACGAGTTATAACACCTACTGGCATACTTAGAAAAGGTAATGTATTTATATTCGCACTAAATATGTATGTACAAAATTTGAATATATATGTATGTACACACTCATAAATGAATTACTTTCATAATGCTAAAACGCACATCATTTCATATATATATACATATATATATATGTATATGTATTTTTATATATAGTACAGACAATCATTCTCCTGCTTATTTATTTATTGCGTGTTAGACTAAAGAAATATAATATGAGTGGTGCAGAGAATTATGAATGTGTAATAAATGTTAATAAGTATGATTACAGAATATTCTGATATATTACATATAATAGTATAGTTGTTACTCGTACAGTTTATTAATAATATTGCATAAAGTTTTTGGGACTCTCATTTCCATAATTGTTTTTCTTTCCTTTGAGCTATTACAACTGCGCCCCTTCAAATTATGATAAGCACACTAAATGATATCAAAACAAAATAGTTTTGTATAGATCAAAAAGTGTTCAAACAAATTTAGCCAAAAGAAGCTACAGATTTCTGGAGATTGAGCATGCACATCATAAATACACAGATATACCGAGATATGCTTTGAAGCTTATTCGTTTATATAGAATGTACAATTAAATTGGTTATTTTATATTTGCATTTTTTATTGATTACAATTAAACGTTTGCTCTTCTCATTTTTGGCAGGAACACTTTGCGGTTGGTTCGTTTCTAACTAATCAAATTAACAAAACACAATACAATACAAAACATTTCGAAATATGTTACAACAAAGAACGAAACTCTACTCAGTCGTTGGCCTCTTGGCGCCGGCTTGTTCTTATTTTTTTGGTTTACTTGCACTATTTGTAGTTCAGCATTACCTAATGACACATTGGAACTGAGCTTAAACTCTATCGATATAACCTATTAGCTGGCATATTTCAATAGTTGAAATGCATGTTTGTATTGTTCATGTTAATTTTCTAGTCTTTTACACCATGTTTTTTTTTTAAACAATTTTAAACATATTTTTCTTCGTTGTTTGAAATAAAGTTTTAAAAAGGCCTTGGATTTTATCTTTTTGATAATAGTTTATAATAATTGCCAAGCAAAATTATTTTTTAGCAGGCGGCTGGGATATGTTTCATAGCACTAAAGCTAGTAAATTATACGGGGGGTATGTGAGGGCAACTCTCAGATACTAATGCTAAGTTGAAGACATATATTCGTAGACTTATTACAACATAATTTGCACTAATTGAAAATTGTATTTCATTCGATTAAACATTTTATATTTACTTCCTTTTTTTAAATTTTGCTTAATGTAAATAAGTTATATCACAACAATAGAGACAAAGATGGGGGTGTGAATGTGAGTGTGTGTGTGCGAGTTAGGCATGTGTGTGTCTCTTTCGAGTCTAGATCAAATAACAAAGGCAAACGTATCGGACTACAAATTGAATTAAATGTATATATATATATACGATACTTATATACAAAACGTTGGGCATAGTACAACATTTGGAGTTTAATAGCACACATACATAAACATACACAAACACACACACACACACACTCAGACGCACACGTACTACACGCAAAGAGCGAGATTATTGTAGGCAAAGCCACACACAAACACATAGACGGGAACGCACGCAGCATTATTCCACTGAGATCCAATACAAGAGTGATGCCCATCGGGGGCAGGCCCGTCCAGCGCCGATCTAATACTAACTCTTGCTGAGCGCCTTCTTTTTCCTTTGTACCAGAATATCGTAGAACGGATTATGGCTGATGGACTGCGTCAGGCGCTTGATCCATTCCTGTTGATCCTCCTCCGTTGCGGCAGACATTCGATACACCGTGTGCTTGCCCTCCACCACCTAAAGATAGAGGAGGTAATCAGTTTCTGAGTTTGATAAAATCCAGGGGATTGACTCACCTTGCCCTCGGAATCAGTCTTGCATGCCTTTATGATATCGGCGCCGCCGGTGGCAAACAGCTCAAAGCAATGCGGCTTGCTGCGATCCTGTATCTCGCGCACCGATATATTCTCCAGCGGTATTATGCCGCGCGGCTCCTTATCTGTGGTATATTCGAAATAGTACAGGCAATTGTCGTTCAGTATAAACCAGCGTCGCTTCCACGATTTGTATCTGTTCCAAGGAATTGCATAAATTAAAGCTGTCTGCAAAATTTGTGGCGATGTGTGGTATTTACCTGCCGCCCTGCTTCCAGAGCCAGCCCTCCTTGTCGGGATTGAAGAAGGTGTGCATTAGATCGTTGCCATCGTCTTGGGGTATCTTGAAGGGCTCTGTGCGTATGGACTCGTACAGCGACTCGAGCAGTCCACGAGGCAAATCGCCGCCGTTGTTGATGCCACGATTCATCGAGATGAATTGCTCAACGGTTGGTTTGTCTTTGACCTAATATAAAATAGAAAAGAATAATAAAAAAAATGATATAACTTGCAGCAATCAGATTGCAAAATAATAACTAATTAGGGAACAGTTTTATGTGCTGCTCGTGCTGTTGAGATCATTTTCAAAATGCCACGGGCCAATTAGTTGGCACTCAACAATTTCAGCTCGTGTGAAATGCTTTAGACTTGACCTATTTATAACCCTATTCACAACAATTTTGTAATTGCTTTAACGCACAGTAGTTGGTGGTGTAAAATGGGGAAAATGCGGAAATGCGTCGTGTGGACCGTCGATAATTGCCGGCTGACAGGCGACAAAGTATTCAATTCCGCAGTTCGGGCCACGCGAACGAGCATTTCGCGAGTTTTTTATTTCTGTTTTGGCATACACAACCAGCCCACCACCACCATCGACAACTTCCGGTCGTTCCCAAACACTTCCGGTTTGCAAACCATGACAGTGAATTGTAATTTGGTGCCAACAAAAAAAGGGAAAGAAGAAATTCCCGAACCTTTTTTTGTGCCTCATTTTAAATACATTGAAACCGATTGAAAGCACAAAAAAGTGAAGTAATCAGAACGTGCAAACTGAAAGTTTAACGGATTAAAAGATTATTTTAAGCGCGAATTTTTTTTAATACGCGACATTGTACTGATATATTTATTGTTTAAATATAAAAAGAAAGTTTTCAAAAGTTATGTAAATTTAAATTAGGTAAATATTTGGCAGCAATTTTTCGTTGAGATTATTTAAAAAAATACTAATAATACGTATTAAACTAATAAAAAGATACAAAAAAATATATAAAGACTATTCAGAAAGAATATAGAAAGCTAAAGAGCTTAAATTTAATCACAATGAATTTTGTAATGTGAATGCATAGTTCAAAGTTTAAGTGTGACTGCGATTGCAAAGTTAAAAAATACTGAATTAATTGTAAGTGATTGGTAATCGACAAATTCGAGCATGATTGACTGACTGATTGATAACTGACATCGTTGATATAAATACTGAATGAGATATCGTAAACACTCATAACCTCCACATTTCCCTGATTATTAGCTAACTCTTAGGCTCTTATGCAATGGGTCTATATCGACATAACTTACCGATGGATTGTGCAGTGATGTATTGAGCATTATAATGGCAAAGCTGAGCACATAGCAGGTATCCGTGTTGGTAAATATATCCGGATTCAGTTGACAGTAGCGCTGAGCGAATGTCTCCATCATGCGGTCAATCTTTTGGGCCTCGCCGGGCAAGCGAAATGACCACAGGAATTGCCTAAATAAATAGAAAATGTTGTTTAATCATATCTTTAATATTAGATGAGGGGTTGTTTGAAGCTAACCTTAGGGCTTGCACCAGTATCAGATTGGTGAAATCGTGCAGTGCCACAAATGCCTTTAGCACATCCTCATTGAAATCGTTTTTCTCGCCGAGGTAATCGCCTGGAAAGTCAAACAGAAATGAGCATGAAAATTTATGTTATGCATTATGGAGTTTTAATTGAATTTTATCCATGCGGGCGTCGCACTGTGGACAACAATTTATGAGCTTGCCAACTCTGCAAATGCGAGACTCACCTATTGCCGTTTTGTTCAGTCCTTCGCCCTTGTAAAGGAAATGCGCCACATCCTGCGGATCGTGACGCAACAGTCGATTCTCTACGAGATACTCAATGCCTGCAAATGTTAAGAATATTTAGAAACAGGCAATTGGTTAAGGTCTTATAATAAAATAATCATATAGATAGTATAGCTAGGCGGCTTCTACCCCTCAAGACATTGCGGTAGATAAGAACGCAGCCGGAAATTCAAGTCGCGTCAAATCAAATGCAGCCCAAACAACATATAATCTACCCATATAAGTCATACATATATCCGCGGCGACCCGCAACATAAACCACAGCAATCACAATAATAATAAAAAAAAAATAAGAAAAAATGTAGGGAGCGGCTGCAATGACGAGACATCGATGTCATTATTTGCCAATCAAATCGCGGGCCCTCCGCTCAGCTCAGCAATTTGCGATAAAAGCCGGAAGGCAAGACAAGAAAGAAGAAAAACCGAGCTCCAGGAATTCAAGTAAAACGCATTAAGAGCAAACAAAAAATCGCGCGAAAAATGCGACATACAACCAACAAATTTGGCAATCGCGTGAGCTTTACTCGATCCGTAGGCGACGCCAAGCAAACAATTCCAAGGGCGGTTTACTTGGTGAAGAGCATTAAAATGATGTGTTACTAGAGAAGAAGAGCATAACTATAAAAAAAGATAGAACTGCGTATACATACAGGACATATGACGAATATATATATGCAAAGGTTTCATCTAAAAGGTACATAAGATACTTTAAAGAACTTTGAAACTCAAAAAAACGTTTTAAAATTCCACATCACTCTTTTTTGCTTAATTAAAAAGTAAAAGACGTTCACTTGAGGAGTAACATTTCCATTTCGTCAACACAAAATGAGCTCAGCATAAAAATCAAGCAAATTTGCGGAAGTGAATTCACTTGGAAAGGTGAAACTCTTGGGTTATAAAATGTTGTAAAAGAAAAATGAAGGAATACCTTTATGTATTGCAGAGTGAAATCCGCAATATGAAAGTAAAAAAAAAGATAGTTACAGATAAAAACTTTTATAAACACAATGAACAACCCACGCGGTTTTTCTTAATATTTCTTTTGGCTCAATCGCAGACAGATTGGCTTTTCAGATTGATGCTTTTGTAGTTTGTTGTTGGCAATGGGAATCCGTATATGTGCCACAACAACAAAAAGAACAACAAACAAAAGCGGCAACAATAATCGCAATAACAACAAGAATGACAACAATAATGCGAAATGACAACGATAATGACAAAGGAGTCGCCTGGAGGAGTCGCCAGGCGTTGTCACACGCGATTAGCATCAGCAAGTTGGCAGTTCCCCCCCATCCATCTGCCAATATCCACGCTGTGCGTTATGGATGGCACATTTGTGGGCTATTAATTTAAGTGTGTGTGCGTGTGTGTGTGTGTAGGGGGTGGGGGTGGGGTGGGGTGGTGTGTGTCTGTCTCTGCTGTTGATAATCGGCCGATAAAGCGACAAATGACGATGCCCTGTAAAACATCCGAATCCACCCAAACCCAAACGAAAACCAATCCACCCATTCCGCCCACCGCTAGGGACGGTTTCACATGTTTTTAATAAGCGGCGCGTCGACGCCTCGTTTTCTGAAGTGGACTCGATTCTCGTTTTGTCAGAGCCGGCGGCCGCTGACTCCGCGCACGCATCGCACCATTTACTACCAAATACTTCAGTGTGGATTAGCATTTTTATTGTGCCCACCCGACATTTGGAATTTTATGCAGGATGCGCCCTGTTGTTGCTGGACCTATTCCCTGACAGTCGAGAGATGCGTGGCCCAATTTGGACTTGTCAACTTTAATTTATGGCCAAGAGGTCGATGAAAATATTTGATTAGCTCTTAAATTACGTAGGGCGAAGGGAATGAGGTCGCATTCTAGAGCAAAGATCTTAGGTTGGGCACTAAAGTAACATGTCGGCTATGTGGGTCACTTGGGACCTATATGGAGAAGGTTAACAAGTCCAAATATCTATTTATATGCTCTTATTTTTAGATGAGAGAAAATCAAAATTGGGTTTAATATTCTAGGCTCTTTTTGAGTACATATAAATACATATAAATACTTAAATATGGGGAAATGGGATATCCACATAATAACATAATATAATATTAATATACACTAGACATGTATTTACATCCAATGGTTGGCGTCTCATACTTTTGAGATCTTGCACTTATTTGTCGATAGTCAGAAAATCCAGGATAATAAAAAAAAGAGCGGCTGTCAGAGATGTTGCCTTCTGCATACTACACAGATTTGAATACAATTATACCATATTATTTTTTTTTAGATTTTCAGAAAATGTTTCCTTTCTTCGCGAATTAAAACGAAACATACTCCAATTGTCGATTGCCCCCTCTTCTTATAACAAGTCTTTTTATATTACACTTATAATTCTCAAGTACTTTTAACAGAAGTTACATTTTTATACGACGCGCGCTTTTCATACTCATTACTGTCTTGTGAGGAGAGAAATTTCTGAAAAATGCATACAACTTTTTCTTAGCTCTCAAAGAGCTGGGCAACGACCCAGTAGACGTTCATATATTAAGTAATACACATGACACATCAATGTAATTTTCAACTGTGTATTCGTATCCATGCCGCCCGCATATTTGGCCTTGCCCGACTGTCTGTCAGTGCGGTACTCTTCAAAGTCTTCACAGATCTCAAGAATATTGCGACATTGACATTTCCATTAAATTAAACGCCCAAGCACTCGTCATATCCCTGCTGCACGTACTACAAATGTCGACGAACTGTCAAATTTGTCAGCGTTTTAAGATAGTGCTGGGAGGGGCGGGACTTAGCAAGACTTTCAGGGGCTGCTGCTGTTGCTGCTGCTGCTGTTGGTGCAGTGCGTTGACGTCGCGTGGCATTCGCAGCATCTCATTTCGGGCTCATTACGTTATTAAATTAACGTCGGAATTATCATCATTGGGCGAACGTGCCGACCCCCAGTCCCCCGGTCGCCTAAATATGACACTGTAAATTTGCCTGGCAATTTCGCTCTTTGGCGCCGTCATGCTTTGGGTTTTCATGGAGCGCCACTTCTTGGCTCTGGTCTCTTGTCTCGTACGTTTCACATATAGCAGCTCAATTATAAAGCAATTCCTTTCATTTGTTGTTGGCGTCATTGAAATTGCATTTAAATCATTCCCACATTAATATTTCCCGATTTCCCCGTCGATAAACAAACATTGGCAGCACCGTGGGGTCTGCCCCTTTATTAAAGATACAAATGTATCTGAAAAAGCCCTCCCCATTTATTTCGTTTTAATTTAGTATTTTCACTTACAAACAGATTCTCGAAATATTTCTCTTGAATAAAAAGTACAATATAATTACGCGTAATACGTCAAATATAATTACTTTCTGTTGAATTACAATGTCTGAGTCAACTAATAATTAATAAATTCTGTGGTTTTTTTTATGTGGGTTTACCTTGAAATTCAATTTTGATCTTGAATAACACCACAACTGATTAGGGAATATTGCAATTAATTGGAATACAAATTTTAATATATTTATATTTTCCCCCTGAACAATAGTAGAATTCTCAAAGCTGCTCAAAGTTGTGCAAAGTGCCCAAAAAGACACAGAAATTAAGTCGAACTAAAGATTTAATGAAATCAGCTCTGAGGCTTATTTAGACTTTAGTTGGTTTTACTTGCTTGTGTAAAGAGAAAATTAAGCGGCCACTTTCTGTTGTTATTTCAATATGCATTTCATGTTTTAATAATGCGTAGGAGAATAATTTGTATATTTCAAGTTTTATTATTAGCATGAGGAATTTAAGCGCTTAATAATTAGTTTTGTTATTCATTTTAGGGGGGTTATTTCTTAGAAGATTGTGATAAATAAGCTTCGAATGTTTAAATTACAGCTATATTATAAAAAATAAACAAAATTCATATTTTTCAACATTTATTCCTATTAAGAGGCTTGGTTTTTAAACTCTAATTCTGAATTTTATGGCTTGGAGCTGTTCGGGCAGGCTGCCAGCTGTTTACGATATCTAAATCAAATCGTACCATCAACTGATTTGTATTTCCTTTTTCATCACATCTAAATCAGTTTAAGGAATACCGTAACCATTTTCTTTGTTCCGATTAAAAAGTCAAGGCGCTCTACGTATCGATAGCGATTAGAGAATCGAACTTTCTTGTGCGTAAGCAGCTGTGAATTAATATCGAATACTTATTTCGTAGATTACAATTTGTCAAAAGTAATTTTTTTCAAAGGGTTTTTTTTCTTCTCGAAATTAAACCGAATGGATAAAGAATCGAAAAGATGGAGCGACGAGGAAACCCGCAAGCTACTCGACTATATGGAGCTACATAAAAATATCGAGGTGAACATTAAATATAAAACAATATTTCTTGAATTAACCACATTTGTATAATATATAATTTAGAAGCCCACGGCTCGGATTTACTATAGTAAGCTGATAGATGAGACAGGCATCAGCTGTGCTTGGCATACGTTAAAGTACAAAGTGCGCTACCTGAGGTTGAGTCTGCGGAAGGCGAATACACTGGGCAGCTTGACAGGATCTATGCAGAACGACGAGGCGATCAAGAAGCAAATTTGCCCTTATTATAAGCAGCTGATGAACATTTTTGGTCTTGGCAAGGACCCTGTGGATCCAGCAGACATCGAGCAACCCATTGATTATGCTGGCAGTAGAGTGGAATACACCGATTGTGATGCTGCCCTGAGCCAAAGTGACGTGGGCAGCTTCATCTTGGAGCCTTCCGGCTCCGAGTTCGAAGTCAATCAGTTCAAGAAAGCGCCGAGTCAAGTAAATAAGAAGAAACGAAAAAAAAGCGATACGCCCATGGATAAGATAGTGCGCTTAGAAACGGAGAGAATGGAGTTTCGCGAAAAGCAGCATCGTCTGGAGGCCGACCGACTTAAATGGCTGAAACAAATGGAGGGCAGCAAATTGCAGCTAGAGAAGGAGAAATTCGAATGGGCAAAGCAGATCGAGGAGCATCGTTTATCCTTCGAGAATCGAAAACTCAAGATGGACGAGAGGAAAATGGACAACGACTTTTTACTACGCAAAATGGAATTGGAGCTCAAATATAAATGCAAATAAATATTCCATTTTCTCGGATTTTTGAAAGTCTAAGAAACCAAAGTTTTATTTGAATAGAGCTGTATTTTAAAATGAATTGAAATGGTTCAAAAACGAAATTATATTCTGTCCTTAATGTCTAAATCCTAGATATTTTCATATAATGCACTTTATTTAAAAAAATTTCTTGTTTAGAAATGGGGTACGCCTAAGTTCACCGCACATATTTAAGATACTTATTTAGACTTTTCTAAGAAAGTTTGTACTCACCTTTCTTGGGATCCATATTGAACTTTTTGCGTCCAATTGACATCTGTTTGTCCTTATTGGAATGCTTGTCTTCAGGCACATCGAGCGCTTCCATTTCCGAAACGACCTCGCACAGCTCATCTTTGATTTGCTATAATTGAAAAAAAGTAAAAATGAATTAAATAAAATCGAGAGTTGAAACTTTCACAGTATTTGTATGTACAGCTGGAGGTACTTCAGCAATACAAGTGAATATAAAAATAGATGAAATAGTCGGGAATGCATCATCTGCAAACACTCGTATAATTTGCGGAAATGACAACAGCGACAATTGTTGCTAAAAATACAAAAATAAATAAAGACTGGAGAAAATAAATGCTGTTTACGCTCTGCACAAAATTTCAACAAGACTGGGCGTTAAGCTGCATTCAGAATTGTATTCATTTCGCATTCACAGTCACAAGTGCGAATCATTTGCATGTATCCAAAGCGGCGACTGGCGCCAAATGGACGAACAAAATTCGTTTCACTTGAAATCATTTTTGTGATTTGTTCAAGTGCTAAAAATATAAACTCGAAAAAAAATGGAGAAGGTAATTCATAGCGAAATTTATTTAATTGAATTATGCGCATAGAGACGAGTACCTGACACGGCATGGGTCCATACGCGGGGTCAAGACAAAGGAAACTGCTGCTCGAGTATATCAAACAGCATTCATGCTGTATGTAATATGATCTATTCAAAGAGGCGTGACAAATTTGTCAAACATACAATTGAAGTGAACGAACGAGGCCGCTCACTAGCTGTAAATGTATCTGTGCGAGTCGTATCTGTAGCACATTTAAGATACAGTTGCTGCACTCAAGTGTCTAGTTATTTGTCAGCCTGTTGACGCTTGACTTGGCGAGAGAGCCACGAGACCGGAACATATCAATTGCCCCCCAACATATAGCCCCTGGCACTGCGCCTATATGACCTTCTGACTCATTTGCTCAGCCTAACATATAAGTATATGTATCTATATATATATGCAAATCGACAGCGGAATGCCAATTAAATGCGCTGAGAAACAATTGACAACAAGAGAGAGACGAGAGCGAGGGACGGGACAATACAATTCCAAGATCGTTCAGATTCGTCGTCAAGTTTTGAAGTTATGCGATGAGCTCATTCCATTGGAACTTCACACAGCGTAGTGACCCCCCGAGAATTTGCTAATTTTAGATACTTTTTTCCGTTAGGAGTGGGAAAGGGTATTTTTGTATAATCAATTCAATGCGTAATTTCTTTAGTTCTTTGACGTGTGACTTTGCAGTCTTCAAGTCACGGTGACATTTGGGAATTTTAAGCCCAAAGCGTGTCACACAAAAAGTAGAAATAAAAAGAATATCACTAAACAATTTTTAAGATCCATAAACAAAGTAAAGACATTTATAGTTAAATAAAATTTAAATTCAACATAGCTCAATAGATTTGAATTAAGTTCTCGAAAAACTACTAAATTTCTCGATTTTTAATTATGGATTTATGCATATTTTATGGTTCCTTGAAGGCACATGGCTTATCCCTGACAGCTTTATAGATTTTACTATCAAGTTTTACCTCCTTTCCCATGCTTAAAATATCTGAGCATATTCCACGCCGCTTCCGTTGCACATTAAAAATAAAAAACAAAAATGTAACCTTTCAATTAGTGGACCGGCTCTCTGAGATAAAACAGAATTATGTAAATGTTTGAATTTCCAATAAAGTTAAACGATCGACAGGAGTGCCCACAAAATGAACGTTTGCTTCCAAGCTACGCCTGTCGGAGCGTCGGCTGAAGAAAGCATTTAAGACATCATAGAAAATTATATAAAACAAAAGAAAATTGTTAATGAGAAGCGAATAGGGAGGCGAACAATAGCGGGAGAGAGGGAGAGCAACGCCAGAGGGCAACAGGTTCTGAGACGGCATCTCTAATCAAAGAGCAACTACTGGACAAGGGTTATTGATAGCGCACAGCACACGTAAAGCTAATGAACGTCAAGCTTTAAAAATAGCTCGCAATAAAACGACGACGGCGACAGGTAAACAACGACGTCAAAGGTGTGGGAACGCGGCACGAGGAAGTCCAACGAAACAGAATCAATCACGAAACCTGTTTTAATGCAATGCAAATGAATGGAACAAAGTCGAGCATGAAACCGATTGTAATGTCATATCAAAACATACTTTTAAATAGATTTTTATTAACTTTCAATAAAGTATGAATAGAAGAAAAAATGGTAAACAGTGAGTGCAAAGTACTGTCAAATCAAAGTTATTTTCTTCTTGATAACTAAAGAGCAGGCGAGTTAGGAAACCCCTCTAGAAAAGTCAAATATTTACGAACTTTATTTATAAAGTGACAACGGAGGACAATGATGCAAAATGAAATGCGAAAGTATAAAAAAATTTGACTAATATTTGTAATATTCACGGAAAACCGAGGGAATTACAAAATTTTGGTTTATATATAATATGTAGTAATTACGTCAAAAGAAAACGCAAATATGTTTGTTTTTCGACGAACCTTAATGAAGTAACAAGTGGACGACCAGAGTAAAGTAATTTATATAAATAATAGGAGGTAATTAAATCGTTTGAAAATAAATGACGAAACAAGAATAATTGTTTAGCTAAAATATATTTTGATTGGAGTAATTAAGTCTCAGTAGTTGAATTGCCTGAAACGAGCTGAAGACGGCAAAGCTCGTTTGCTTGTTGCTAGCTGCGAGAGATGTGAAATAATGGAATATTTCTAAATATTATGTCCGAATGTTGCTTTGAAATCTCTGATCATATTCTGTTTAAAATAATTATGATATAATTGACGAAACCCATCAAAACAATATCATAAGCACATGCCCAAACACAAACACCTGGATTAACTCATACCTGCGGACGCCTCAGTATGACGACATTGCTCTGCTCGGCATTGTTGCGATTTCGCTCCATGAGCGTTCGGCAACTGTCGCAGAGATTCGCCAGTTGGTTGTTGTTGTTGTTATTGTTGCTGTTGTTGTTGTTGTTCAGCTGTTTGCTGCTGTTGTTGTTGTCCGCGATGCTGTTGTTGTTGTGGCTAAGCGAGTTGCGCTCGGATTCGCTCTGCGAATTGGAGCTGTCATCAATGAAGCGCAAATCGCCCGCCTCAGGTGTCAGCGGTGAGCTGAGCCCCGAGTTGACTGTCTCCCCGTCGACCAGCTCCGGCTCCAGCTGCAGTGCCACATTATCGATGCCATCCTCGGCCACGTCCAGCATGCAGCCAAGCGAGTTGGAGCGCGATTTGCGTGGTGCCTGCGGCGGTCGCCTTGAGATGATCTCGCCCCGCTCATTGAGCAACAGCTCGACGGGCCGCGAGACGATCAGCGTGCGCGTTGTTGTTGTGGTCGTTGTGTGGGTCAGCTCCGAGCGCTTGTTGTAGAGCTGTGTGTGTGGTTCATCGCTGGGCAGACGCAGCAGCTCCACCTTGCGGCTGACATCGCTGCAGCTGACCGTCTCGGTGCTCAACGTGGGACTCGCCGGTGGTGGACTCTCGGCACGCAACGAGGTCACCTTGTAATTGGCCACGCTGGTGAACGGCGACAGCGAGGGCGAGCGGGGCGAGCGAGGCGTGCAGCTGGGCGTCGGTGTTGATGGCAACGGCTCCACATGCACTTTGGGCGAATCCTTTTTGCCCGCCAAGCTGCCCAGATTGCAGAAGCAGCGCGCACAGACGCTGCTGCTGATGGTGGTGCTGCTGCTGTTGCCGCTGCCCCCGCTGCTGGTGGCATTGCCCAAGAGCCGGCGACGATCCTCCTCAGCCGTCGTCGTCAGCGCTGGTATGTAAAAGGTGCTGCTGCTGCGACTGCCGGGCAGACCAACGCCACCAACGCCACCGGCTGGCGGCGTTGTAGCTCCGGCAACGCTGGCGGTGCTCAGATCGAAGCAGCTGCGCTGCAATTGCTGCTTGCTGCCAAAGCTGCCGCTCTTCTTGCTCTTCGGCTGGCGGCGCAGCGAGCTGAACCAGTTGCTGAAGCTGGGACGCTTCTGGTGCAGCGACGTCGTCATGACTGTCGGCCAATTGCTCACTTCCGTTCGCTCAGTCTTTTTTATGGCTTTTCTTTATATTTTTTTTTATTTTTGTATTGCAACCCGAAAACGGGTTATCCGTATGCGCTGTCCCGCTCCCTTCTGCTATTTGGCCTTTGACTTTGATTCTTGGTTAATTATTTTGGCTTCTTCATCGCGCGACTCTGAAAATTGTAGAGTTTTGTTTTTTGGGTGATTTTACCGTCTTCTGCTGCGTAGGGAACTCGCAGCAATTTACAAGTACAAAAGGCGCGATGCGTTGAGAAACTGTATACCATAAATTCATTAGCTAATTATTATGATGCCGAGCAGCTCAAGCCCACAAAGTGCCCCCGACAGGAAGTGTCAGACAGGACAGGCCACAACCTCAGAAATTGAATTTCTTTTCGTCGCACAACATTTTTCGGGTTTCCCATGCCTGCGGTACAGGGCACTCGAAGGCAAGGCGCAGACACAAAACAAATTACGCTAATGGCGTACAGGTTAAGAAGGTGCTGGCGTTTGTTAATCCCAGCGACAGGACGACGACAAGGACAACGACACAATTTTTTAGCCGCCACTGACTCACGTGTGATTTGTGGAAGGCATGCAAACACTTCTGCAGTTTTCAGGCGTTGCGGGACAGGAACAAATGGAGACGCAACATAGCACATAGCCCATAGCCTATTGTCCCCAGACCGTGATTTATTGCGTTTCTTTTCTTCCGCTGTGTTCTAATGTTTGTTTTGTTCCCTTTGCCATTTACGTTTCGTTTCGTTACGTTACGTTTCGTTTAACGGAAGGAACTCTGAACGATAAAGCCGGCGAATTGTTTTTGGACAGCCAAACTCTAATTGGAGGCATGTTGGCCATGTGGCACAATCTCCATGGCAAATAATGGATGATGCCTCGGATTAAGTCGGTTAGCCAGCAAAAGTCACTGAGCCATATGCAACAAACATTTCTTTGCCAAGACATTTTCTCAAAGCTTATTATAATTTATGACATATTCCCTGAGTACATCTGTATACATATGTCCGTGACTTTAAGCAAGCGTATGTTTTTATTAATCACAGACCGGAGAAATACACTGCAATCCAGGAATTAGAATGGAACATGTGGAATACAAATGTGCGTGGGGAAATTTTATCAATGTCCCTAAATATACAGGCCTATCTCATAAAGAACATAGTTTAAAAGATATCGGATATAAAACGAGTGAGAAAGAAGTGTGCAGAGGAAGGAATTTCCTAGATGATCCATTCCCATCGTCTATAAACTAGTTTTGTGAGGCTTTTGTATGAAAAATGTTGCCTGCAATTGTTTGTATTTATCATTTGATTTATTTACTAAGATAAGAAGAGATTGTAAAAGAAAACCTAACTTCCGGGCGAAAGATCATTGGAACAGGAAGAAAGAGGACGCAACTGCCTTAAATGTTTCTTTCATGTTAGTTATATCTCATTATCAGCCAATCGCAGCATTTGCATTGAAACGAACTTTAAATAATTGTAATTATTTAAAGCTTTCTCGATCAAATATATGTTAGGTACAAGTTAAAGGCAAATGAATTGGCAATTGTCGTGAATTAAATAAAAGGAATAAAATATTGTGAAATTTATACTTCTAATAGATTTTGAAATATTATCAATTATTGCTCAATCAACAATAGCAGTAGCACAAATCTTTTCTAATCAAATATGAATTGAAACAGTTTAAAACTTATTGCAAAATGTATTTGCACCACACCTGCAATATCTTCTCGATTATACCTAAGTATATATTAACTGAAGCACGTACACCCAATCGTTTATATATTAGACATTTTGTTAGCTAATATTATGCTTAAAGTCCCTACATTATTTTCCCCAAATTTATTACTTTCACACATTTGAAAGCCTCTAGAAACTGTTTACTTATTTCTGCAATGTCAAAGCCCTTGCAGTCCCCAGAGTCCCATTCGAGGCCGTGACAAGGCAGACGACTCTATTCCAAAGGGAATTAAACACGTCGAAAACATGAACAACAATTTACCTGCCACGCCCACGCACACAACATTGGCAACTTTAAATTACGTGTAACTCGGCATTATGGAGAACCTACAGCCTTCAACCTTTTGCATCCTACGGTAGCGTGAACGTGATTTGGTTGCACAAACAACAACAATCAAATCAATCTCAATCTTTATATATTTCTCTACCTCACTTTTAGATGTACTTCGTTTCTATTTATGTGTATATGCCACAATAAAAGGCGCGCCGGCGTTGAGAACAAGAAGAAGAGCAAAATAAGAAAACGCTGAGCAAAAGACGAAACAGAACAAACGCAGCGCAGGTGAATGCCACAAAGGTATTAACAAGAAGCAAATGAAATTTGTAAACAAACTATCAATCAAACAAATGAGCTGAATAAACACAGACAACGCAGAGCGAGAGAGCGCTAGAGAGAGGGAGAGAGAGATGAGAGTATCTATGTGCTTAGAGATATTTAGTCAGACAGAAGCTTCTCAGATGCAGGCAACAGATACCAATCCGACAGGCTCAAGTGGCCAAAACAAAGCTGCGATTGCTACCTGTGAAAATTTCAGCTCTGTGGCACAACAAAAGTCTTCAAGTGTGCGTGTGTATGCTTTGTGTGTGCGTGTGTGTATGTGCGCTTATGTGTGGGCAGGAAATGCGCTTTGGCTATGCCAAACTAATATGGCATGTAAAATTTTCCCGGTTTGTGTTAAACTTTTGTTCAACATGATGAATGGGCTAAAAGGAAAAGCAAAGAAAATAAATAAAGAAAATTCCGCTTGTCAGACGGTAGTTGGCAGCTGGGCTGCGCCCCTACAAAAATAGGCGTGGCATGGCGCATGCAATTTATCTTGACATTTTAATCTTGCCATTGTAAGCACTGAAAACAACAAGTACAACTATCGCGCCAAGTGTTACCAATGCAAGCGTCTGTCTGGCCAACGCCTTTGGGTTAACACGCTCTTTAACCCTCTACTGGCCCGGCCTGCATCGTTCCCCTGGAATCCAATTAGACAATCAGACACATAAACAATGGTTGGGCAGCCAAAAAACACACACAATAAAATTAAAAGAAATACAAGAAGGAATCTGTGCTGAAGTATGCTGAAAAAAGAGATATCCTGGAGACAGCTCTAAGACAACTTTTACTTGCTTCCGAACGATTCAGAATTTAAGGAATGCGTTTAAGACTATGAAAGATAAACAACATAAAGAATTTGGCTAATTTCTATTGTCATGTAACTTACACCTTTTTTCATGAATAGTTTTTGAAACGTTCAGAATAAGGATATATTAAGCAAATATATACATTACTAAGAATAAAAATTGGATTCTTAAGAAATTCGATCACAATTATCAAGATATTCCAACTTGGGCTTTCTAGAACTTTTACTAGCTGCGATCGACAGACTATATATAGATAAGTTTTATATTTTATGGAGTCTGCCCATATCTATACTTTTAAATTCTATTGTTATCTCACCCATCTGTAATAGTTACAGGGTATAGACGACTCGCGCAGTCACCAGCTGCTCGCAATTCAGACCCTCAGCTGCTGTGGTAAAGGAAGCTCGCATTCGTTTTTCGCATACGGATTTGGCTTTGTTTTTGGATCTGTTGCCATTTGCTCTGCTTCTGACTTTCACTTTCGTCAGCAGAATGCAATTAAAGGCAAGCTTGCGCGGCACATTTGCGACTATGTTTTTCCATTTGTGCGGTTCTTTTGTCTGTGCCACTAAATGTATCTCAGAGTTTGTATGTATCTTTAAGTACGCATCTATATGTACAAATTTACGAGCGAGGCGCCGGCTCGGTCATTGCTCGTTGTTGGCATGTCTAGAAGTCGCATTTGCCCGGGAAAGTGTGCAAAATGCTTTTATTCCGGCGCGCATTTTCTTTTGGCTCGGTGTATTGATTGGGTCTCTGCTGTGCGTGAAAATACGCGAACACTTTAAGGAAGGTAAGAGGGGCTTTTCACTCTTATAAATTGTAAGCTCCTTATGGGCCTCTTCTATATTTTTCACTTGAAAATATTTAGTCGGTTGGCTGTTTAAATGCACTTAAATGACATAAGTGAATTAAAAGTTGGACAAATTAAAGGGTATCGAATGCTTGTTATTATTATACATTATCTTCTCACTTCTTTTTATTCTAATCTTTTCAGCGAAACAAGGTCGCAAAAGTTGGCCACTTTTACTCGTCGGAAAATAGAAAAATCATAGAGAAAATTTTTTTAGGGAAAAATGGTTTGTCAAAAAAATAAAACCATAAGATCTAAGTTGTCTGCCTGTTAATACTTTTCTACTTTCCGAAACTGCAAGAAATGTAGGAATTTAAAAGCAAAACCTTTCACTTTTTTTGCAGTTTTTTATGCATTTTAACAAAAGTTTCTTGACAAATTTATTAACGTGCATATATCTGGGGGACATCATTGCCCAACACTACCCATGAACTAGTATTTTATAGCACTGTTTTTCAATGTAATCTTACAAGTGTAAGGAATAATAGGATTTACCAATTCTAATCATGTGGCATGTCTTTCGCCTTTGGATATAATAAATGCTCTAGAAGATAAACAAGTGACCAGTGCTGGTAAGTGCAGCACACACACATTATATACATAGGGGCAGCTGTTGCCTCAAGGGAGGTCTTCCACATCGCCTCGTTTATTGTGCGTGTGTTTGTCTGTATCTGTATCTGTATCTATTTCTATGATTATGGATATTGCTCATTAGGCTGATGGCTGCCAAGGCAGCATCAAAGTTTGCTTATTATTATTTATTTATACGAGCCAGACAGTCAGCTAATTTCAGACCGACTGACCGCATGCCATTTATGCGATGAGAAAACCTCCAAAAACTGCCAGAAATTTTGTTTGCTGTCAGCTGCGAGCACTTTTTCTCTTCTCCAGCACAAAATGTAAATGGGTAAACGAAACAAAACAAAAAACAGCGCCAAATTTGCATCTTTCTCGATATAGAAAAATGACGCAACTAGATGAAAATCGAAAAATAAAATATCCATAAATATGTATCTATATCCTACATATGGCAAAAGTTTATGTTGCAGCGTCAGTCACTGTAAATTGCTTTTTGTTTTATTTGGCATTTTAGATTTCTACATCGTTTCTTCTTGCTTTTATACTTTGTATTGTGAAAGAAGTAAAA